TTCTCCTCCTCCTCCTCCTTCTCCTCCTCCTCCTTCCGCCTTCTTCTCTCCTCCTCCTCCTCCTTTCTTCTTCTCCTCCTCCTCCTCCTCCTTTCTTCTCCTCCTTTCGTCTTCTTCTCTCCTCCTCCTCCTCCTTTCTTCTCCTCCTCCTCCTCCTCCTCCTCGTCCTGATTTCATTGGTTTTCTTTATTAGGTGAAGTGCCACGTGGCAACACCAGTGCGCTGAGAACTGCCACGTGTCGGGATAGGCGAGTTGCGGTGAAATTCCGCCGCTAGTTGACGTACTGACGGGCGGGATTCCTCTCTCTCTCTCTCTCTCTCTCTCTCTCTCTCTCTCTCTCTCTCTCTCTCTCTCTCTCTCTCTCTCCTCCTCCTGCTTCCTCGTCCTCTTTTTTTTTTTTTTCGGCATCGCCATACAAAAACGGCAGGTCCTCCTCCTCCTCCTCCTCTCCTCCTCCTCTCATCTTCTTCTTCTTCTCTCCTCCTCCTCCAACTACTTTCGTCTTCTCATTCTATTCTCCTCCTCCTCATCATCCTCCTTCATCTTCCCCTTTTTCCCCCCCCCGTCATCCCCATGTACTACCGGCAGGTTGTTACATACTTCAACGAGTATGGGCAGAACCAAAGATCAACCAATGTAGGATGAGCATATATGCAGCGGAAGTCTGATAAACGGACTGACTCACATAGACTGACTCATAGAATCACTCCACACACATACAATCGTGAGATGGTGGGGTCTGGGCCAAGCATGGATGATGCCCAGATCCCGTACACACATACACAGATGAAAGGTGGGAGGAGAGACGAAGGAGGTGGGGGAGGTAGACAGCACCGGTAGGTCACCGAGATAGAATCCGATAGGTCACCGATATGGTAGTACAAAATGTCATCCAACAAGATCAAAATGTCGAGGACAATCAGTCACCAATGTCGGAGATACAGAGTCCCAATGTAACCGGTGTCCGAACTGTGATGCCACCAAGTATCAACCCCAACAATCTCCAAGTATCCAATCCGGTAAGTACCACAGTCTCATACCACCGAACTCCAACACTGATCTCTGTCCAACTAGTATAAGTCTCCAATCTGAAGAAGAAGAAGAAGAAGAAGAAGAAGAAGAAGAAGAAGAAGGAGAAGAAGATGGAGTCTGAAGAGGAGAAGAAGAAGAAGAAGAAGAAGAAGAAGAAGAAGAAGAAGAAGAAGAAGAAGAAGGAGCCGAGGAGGAGAGAGAGAGAGAGAGAGAGGGGACTGGCGAGGGGAGGGAGGAGAGAGGCCTCCAACTCCCGATACCTCAGGCGGCTATGGCCGCCGGTACACTCAGTCGCCGCTGCTGCTGCTCGCTCGCTGCTGCTCCTCGCTGCTCCTGCGCTAAGCTTAGCGCCAGCGCTGTATCGCGCTGTACCATACCGTACCGGTAGAATGCCGGTAGGTCGATAGCCTCAGTGAGGCTGGACCGGTACTTTTGTACCGGTGGGGCAGAGGCCGGCCTCAATGCTGCGAGGCCTGGCCGTGCCCTGAACCGTCCAGATGGACGGTTCAGCCCCAACTGGCGGGCGGCAGCCTCAAGAGCGCCGCCAGGCCCAAACGGTAATGTCGTTTGGGCCTGCCCGTCGGGTCTGGTCCAAAGTAAGGTCTTTACGGCCTGTAGTACCCCCAAGGTCGGGCCTTTAGGCCCTAATGTGTCCCTCTAACCCTGAGTCGGGTCCGGTAGGACCCGTGTGGCGTCGAAGATGTAACACAGGTCCTCCTCCTCCTCCTGCTCCTCCTCCTTCCTCTCGTCTTCTTCTTCTTCTCTCCTCCCCCTCCTCCTCCTTAATTGTTGTCCTTCTCTCGTCCTCCTCCTCCTCCTCCTCCTCTCGTCTTCTTCTTCTCCTCTCCTCCTCCTCCACCACCTACTTTCGTCTTCTCCTTTTCTTCTCCTCCTCATCTTCCTCCTTGTCCTCCTCCATCGTCCTCTTTTTTTTCTCCGTCATCCCCATACACGACCGGAAGGTCCTCCTCCCGTCGTCTTCTTCTCTCCTCCTGCTCCTCCTTTCGTCTTGTCCTTCTCTCCTCCTCCTCCTCTCGTCTTCTTCTTCTCCCCTCCTCCGCCTCCACCTACTTTCGTCTTCTTCTTCTCTCCTCCTCCTCCTCTGCGTCCTCCTTCATCGTCCTCTTTTTTTTTTGTTGTCATTCCCATACACTACCGGCAGGTCCTCCTCCTCCTCCTCCTTTCGTCTTGTCCTTCTCTCCTCCTCCTCTCATCTTCTTCTTCTTCTCTCCTCCTCCTCCTCCTCCTTTCGGCTGTTTCGTTTTTCAAGTCTCCATTTTTTTTCCTCCTCCTTTCCTCTCCTCCTCCTTCCTCCCCTCCTCCTCCCCCTCCTCTCGTCTTCTTATTCTTCGCTGTCACCTCCTCCTCCTCCTCCTCCTTCCATCTTCTTCTTCTTCCTCCTTTCTTGATCTTCTTATTCCTCCTCCTCCTCTTCCTCCTCCTTGTTCTTCTCTCCTCCTCCTCCTCCTTTCCCTCCTCTTCGTCTTCCTCCTCCTCCTCCTCCTTTCGTCTTCTTCTTCCCTGCTCGTCCTCCTCCTCCTCCTCCTTTCGTCTTCTTCGTCCCTCCTCGTCCTCCTCTTCCTCCTCCTTCATATCTTACCGCCCACCATCTCGCACATCCGCCAGCCATATTGTATCACCCGCCATATCCTACTGCCCGCTATCTCCCATTCGTTTATTTTTTTTTTTCCTGCTCGAGAAAAAGGACATAAGCGGGCAGACAGCAGCTCCATTCACAACCGCACAAACTTCTTCTTCTTCTTCTTCTTCTTCTTCTTCTTCTTCTCTTCTTTTTTCTTCCTCTTACTCTTCTTCTTCTTCTTCTTCTTCTTCTTCTTCTTCTTCCGATATTTTAACTTCTTTTTTCCCCTAGCTTTCGTCCTCTTACTCTTCTTCTTTTTTTTTCCTCTACTTCCATGACATTATGGCGGGCAGTGGCAGCGGAGTCAGCGGGGGGAGTGGTGGGTCTGGAAGGACGAGAGCAGACAAAGGAAGTGGCGTCTTCTTCTTCTTCTTCTTTTTCTTCCTCCTCCTCTAACCCCTCCCCTCAGCGGACTGGCTGCTGCAACACACCCTTTTACCCCCTTGTCAACCCCCCCTTCCCCTCTCCTCTCAAACTTCCTCTCCCCAACCCCCCCCGTCCCCTCCCCCAACACACATGCCTTTCACAAGTTTCTCTGCGGATTTGGGCTCCTCTCAGCGAGCGCAGTCCAACCCCATCTTCAAAAAAATAATAAAAAAAATCCTGGGACGTTTTTTGGCTCATCTGGTTTTGCCGGACGGACCCCCCCCAGTCCGTCTGGCTATGTCCGTCTAGACCAGGCGTCGGCCTAACCCAGGGAAAAAGGCCCACTTGCACGCTGTGGCAAGGGGCCAGAGTAAAATGACACCTGTTTGCTTTTCAGCACACCTGGACCTTATAATTTGTCTGTTCTCTTGATGATAAAAGTGCCTTTACCCGATGCAGCCCCTGATCGACGGAAACAGTATATGGGGGTACCTCGCCCAGAGCCCAGTTCGTGAAAGCAAATCAAAAGGCATGATCTCCGAGTCGAAGGTCACATCCGAAATAAAGCAAAAGGCAT